GCAGTAGTGAACTAACAAGGGAAGGATGATCGCTCGAAGTGGCCATTTCGAATGAGCTGTATATTAGGAAACCGTCCTCGGTAAGGCAAACTCAAAAGTACTTTCGCTAGGTGCCGAGCGGTTTTGTGGGGGGAGTTACAAGGCCATTTTCCGGGTAGAGGACTATATGTCGCCGAAAAAGGGCGGTCCCCGCTGTCACTTGCGACAAATACGCACCCTTGTACATGCGCGGACATGCGTTCCTGCAGGGAATCCGCGCGGGACTCTTCCAAATTCGGCGACATATAGTCCTCCACCCCCATTTTCCTCCGGTGCACCCAGTGATAAGCGAGGCGCTAGAACAATGGACCAGTGTGGCGGTGGCGCAGTGGCAAGACAGCGGAATACGAAGCAGATGGTCGAGGGTTCGAGTCCTGTTGCTACTACTTTGTTTTGCAGTTCTGTAGAAAGTCTATTGGGTGACAGTAAACGAAAAATATTCATTTCTAGGTAGTTAAAACAAGCTATTTACTGCAAAAGTCACTATTTCTGCAATAAGCTATAATCTTTTATAATATGTAAATCTGTGGAGGTTATTATGTCACAACAAGGGATTTAAATGATATATTAACATGTATGGAATACAACCACAAAATGCTCAAACGGGCGCACTTGCAAAATTGCAATCAATTCAAATCCCATGTATTGGTTCTCGATCTGAACTTTACCTTGTATCATAGGGATTCCATCCTTAAGATCTTATCGCTCATTTACACACAGTTTTGCTCGCCGCGATTCAAAATTTCCTTTCATACCCATGACGTGCAACCGGATACATTGATAACCACCCCGGCGAGTTCGAGTCTCCTATTCAGTACTGTTTTTCACCGACTATAGGCAATTGTGAAGCTGCTGATTGTCATCGTTTATATTTATCCGATGTGCGCGCTGCGAGAAGCTCTTCTGCTTTGAGCATTTTTGTGGTTGTATTTCATACATGTTAATATATCATTTGAATCCCTTGTTGTGATATCATAACCTCCACAGATTTACATATTGTAGAAGATTATAGCTTATTGCAGAAATAGTGACTTTTTTGCAGTAAATAGCTTGTTTTAACTACCTAGAAATGAGTATTTTTCGTTTACTGTCACCCAATAGACTTTTTACAGAACTGCAAAACAAAGTAGTAGCAACGGTACTCGAACCCTCGACCATCTGCTTCGTAATCCGCTGTCTTGCCACTGCGCCATCGCCACACTGCTGCATTGTTCTAGCGCCTCGCTCATCACTGGGTGCGCCTGCTGCGCCGGAGGAAAATGGCCTTGTAACTCCCCCCACAAAACCGCTCGGCACCTAGCGAAGGTAGTTTTGAGTTTGCCTTACCGAGGACGGTTTCCTAATATACAGCTCATTCCAAATGGCCACTTCGACCGATCATCCTTCCCTTGTAAGATATTTTTATGGGTAGGCTTTCGGTACCACTTGGTTTTCCAAATTCCGTTGCGTGAATAGACCTCAACATTCAGGAAAGCTAACCAGTTTTGATGAGGTTTTTCGCGGATGAACTTTATTTTTGGCGATTGCGCATTCAGAATGTCGAAACAAGTATCAACTTCCTTTTGGCTTGCACATACAATGTAGTAATCGTCAATGAATCTGCAGTACAAGAGAGGTTTACGCGCTAGCACCGGACTTTCTACTTTCGATGTAAAAACTATCGCCACTATGGGTGCCAATCTTAGTCCCATGGATAAACTTCTAATTTGCTTGAAGTACGGGTAATCTTGTGTCTTTGGTATCTATAATTTGTTGCCTACTTAATTCCTCACATTCTTGTTTTGCTCTCAGTCGGCGATCATGTACATCCACGAAACATGAAGAGGCCTATCTTGAATAATATGTTCAGAACAGCTAATGGTCTCTTCTGGCGCTCATGAACGTATGGCATCTCTGAGGCTGGCTAAAGAAAGACATCGCACTATCCAATGGATAGCTGCAAAAAGGTGCCGCTAGCTGCAGTAACTCGAATAGATGCCCACTGCATGAGAAAGACACCCAGAAAGTTTCCTTTTGCATACCTATCGTAACGGAGGACTTGACTAGAGCCGTTAGGAGGAGTTTGTATCAAGCGGGCTTGCAAGTATATGTAAGAGTTGTAGACATTCCTCCTCCTAGTCTAAAAAAGCAGCTAATCCGCAATCCCGCATATGACAATATTTGCTCAACACCAAATTGCGTGATATGTCCCTTTGGAAGACCAGGTGATTGCCTAAAGTGCGGGGTCGTCTATCTTACTACGTGCCTAGTATGCGGTGAAGAATATGTAAGTGAGACCGGACGACCATTGTGTCTACGGATCAAAGAGCACTTAGTCGGACTCACAAAACGTAAAGCATAAACTCCCCTAAGTGCACATAGCAGAGTGTCGCACGATAATGTGCCGTTTGATATTGCTGCCACAATCTTGTCCTACGAGCAAGAAACTATCCCACGCAAGACACTCGAAGCATTTTGGATTACGTCACGTAATCCCAAAATGAACAAAAAGGACGAGTGCATTACCGTAAAAAGAGTTTCACCATATCAAAGCCTCTGTGGTTTTGATTGTCAAAGTATAAACATCACAGAGAGCAAAGGCATACCATCACATTCTGCACGGCTTGAATACGAGCGGTCAGATCACTCGACTGACGTCGAATAAGGTGAGATATGGTCTGGCTCTTTGCTGGTCTCGTCTCAACTCAGTTCGAATCGTAACGGCGAGAGGGTCCAGCAAGTACTTCACAGATACGTTTATGATTACAGGCTCTGAAGACGGCATTGGCGCCGAAACGTTAGCCAAACAATAAATTGTTTGTATACCAATCTTGGCCGCCGTTCAAGAATACATATAAGATAATTGAGTAATAATTTGATCAAAATTGCTGAATACGATGAGGTGACTCCTCAAGGGCAGCCAAAATTTTATCTACATGATATGCTTGCTGAAAGAAGTATCATTCACTAGCTGGCTTACCCGGCTCCGCCGTATGTTCCGAATAGAAAACTCCATTTCTTAACCGATCCGGACCAAACTTGGCAAACATACACTTCGGGCCCCGGCGGGTGTCATAGGCTACTTTTCGTCATCGATCGATATCGATTTTATCGATTTTTTGCAAAATTTGAGCTAGGGGGCTGGAATTTGGCAGAGAGGTATAATCGAGCATGCTGATCACCCCCACGGGGGTGATCACCATGCTCGATTACCACCTGTGCCAACTCCCAGCCCCGTAGCTCAAACTTCGCGAAAAAATCGATAAAATCGATAAAAGTAATCGATAATCCTGAAAACCAATATTGTATTCGGAATCCCCATGCACGATTACCCCCCTGTGCCAACTCCCAGCCCCGTAGGTGAACTCAGCAAAAAAATCGATAAAAATCGATAAAATCGATATCGATCAATGACGAAAAGTAGTCTATGACACCCGCCGGGGCCCGAAGTGTATGTGTGCCAAGTTTGGTCCAGATCCGTTCAGAAATGGAATTTTCTATTCGGAACATACGTACAGACATACAGACATACAGACATACAGACAGACATACAAACAGACATTCAGCTTTATATATAAGAATATGGGGAAGACGGTCGAAAGGCGCGCATTGGGTGTCACTAAATGAGAAAAGCAGAAGAGGAGTTCAAGCTTATTTTGTTCCCTTCGGATTTCAATTATATGATTTTCTGCTGTACCCTCTAGTACAATGACAAAAACTTTCGGAGCCTGAAACTCTTGTCTTCAAGGAGTACCTGCCCTCTGTTGCAACCGCATTCACCCAAATGCGCGCCTTTCGACATACTACATCCGCAGATATGGGGCGTTTGAAAAATCGTGACAATGGCGCGATCGCGCGCGACACGCACGCACCTTCCGGCAGCCGCTTCTTCTTGGTTTTAATCTCTACTCGGCTGGTATTTCTGCTTGGGTATGATAGTACTTGGACTGGAAGTGGCTGAGCTAAGAGTCGAGCTAACGCCTTTTTGTATGAGGGTGTTATGCTCCTGTGGGCGCAAAGGCCGCACTCAAATCCGTCGTCACGATTTTATCAATGAATCCTGCATACATCGCTTTGCGAATTGCGGCGGTCAGGCCTTCTGACCGTTCCGCCGGTGGTCCCCGGCGTTTTACAACGACTACGTGCGAATCTACAGAGTGTTCCTCGAGTCAGGCCAAAAGTATCGTCGAGTCGTCGGCACCTGGCCATATATTGCGGAGCACGCACGGTGGCTGAATGTGACGAGAGCATGCCTTGTTCAAGTGTATACGATAGCGGTTGTACTAATACAAGCGCTTGTCCACTCGCGTGCTCTAATGTACAGCCAGTCCGTGCGGTCAACTACTCGAAGTTACAGTCTGCTTCAATCCTAATCAGGCCAGAATTGACATGCCGGGAGTCCGCGGTTTTGCGTCTTAGGGTTTTGCGTCGCACCTACCGCCTACTTATCTGCCCTCTCTTCAATCTCTTCGCTCTCTTCGACAGTACGCATATGCGACGCGAACCCACGCGCTGCGAGGCGCAATTTACCCAAGGGTCCAGCCTGATCCCGATTGGGTCAGACTGTACGCGTCCTTCACGTTTGAGGCTGCGGGCGGTCCCGATGGGACCGTCGTTCGTCCCCATTTTCGATTTCGGCAATGCTTTTGGCACACACATGCATCGCAAACATACAGGCGATGTCAATGACGTGCTCACAAGTCCGTAGCTATTGCACGTACGCGAAGCAAGGCTGACGCGCACGCATCGCAAGGCTGAGGCTACTAGTCCATACGGGACTTGCGGCGCGTGCATACGAATCGAGGACTGCAGAAAAGGGAGTAGGCTATTGACATCGCCTGTAGCGTTGTTGGGCGCGCCGTGCCGTGCCAACATTTTGGCCTCGTCCCGATCGGGTAGACTGTAGTTAGAACTTTGTTGTCATGATTGTATCTGATCTTTTCAAAATGTCCAAGATTTCGTTTTTTGGGTCTCATTTTTTTGATTTAGGAATCACGGCATAGATTTCCCATGAGCAACAAAACCCCTAGAGATGTCATGGGGTCACAGTTCAACACGATCATGGAAGGTTATCAAGTATGTCGACCTCCGTTCCCAACCGTCCCGAGTAATTGTAAGTAGGCACTTGTATTCTTACCACTTATTTTTTGCTTCTAAACTACAGCATTTACAGATGGAATCTGATCTCGCTGTAAATTTGTGTAAGGAAAGCCGCTTGCTTACTTTATCCCAGGGCAATACCGTGATTGAGCAGATCCCCCTTTGTGCGCCTTCGCCGACTGTCGTGTGAGTCTCTTTTGTTTTTCTCATATTCGCAAAAAAAGGTGTCTTGTTAGGACCTAAAATGCGTTGTTTTTCATTTAGATTGGTAGCTCTAGCTTAGCTAGCTTCTAGGTTCTTTTTTGAGGTATCGCGACACGGCTATCGTTTTCACATTAGCCTTATCATCTCTCTTCATAAAGTTTCGTATCCGTCTATCAAACGTAGCTGACAGATGTTCCTTGTGTTTGGCTCTATCTGAGTTCACAAATGTGCAAGAAAGTATTCCGGTAAGTGTGTGCTTAGAAGGAATCGTTTGCACCAGTCCGGCCATAGGCGCAGAACGCCCAGTGCAGTCGTGGTTTCAAGGACGTTACGTGTCTTTCTCAAGGAGCATGCAGCAGCGGATCCAGTAGCCAAGTATACCAACTAGTTAGTCATTTTGACAAATTTCCTGTAAAATTAAGGGGATCAGGTTAGTAATGTCGTTTTATGGTCATAGACCGTTCCACACTTTTACAGCTACAGCTCGAGCGTTTACGCCCCTCCCTCGCTCTTTGCACCGCGTACACGGACGTAATCCTCTAGGTTATCTACAGGTCTGCTGCACAAGCGAGGGAAAGCCAGAGGGTGTGCTTGCGAACGTGACGCAAGCCCGCGAGCGGCCACCGTAAAAGCGGAGCCGCTGGCTGTGACACTGTCATTGAGACAGTCTATGCAATCTCATTATATCGTCTTTTGTGGGAGTGGACACATTGCTCATGTCAATAGCAGTTGACCCATTAAACTCACTTTTACCAAAAACCTACTAGCAATTATTCCAATACTAGTGAACCAGTAATTAAAGGCGCTGGATTGCATCCACGCGCTTCACCGCCACGCGGTTTTCCGCTATTTGCACATTTTTGAATTGCGCTTACGTTTCTTCATAGCCATTTGTATAAGCGCATCCTGAAGAGAGCTAAGAAATTTGAGCAGATTGAACAAGTCTGAGGGCTAGGCTCTATTGATTGCTTCTGCGCCCTTTTCCGGTTCAACCGATTCATGCTGTTCACCCTTTTTCTGGCTGCCTTGCCGCATGTCGCGTTACCGGCCCACAAATTCCCCACTGTTGAAGATTCCCGGCGGCAGAATCGGGGGGGGGGGGCTGTGGCGGAACGAGGGGGGACGTCCCGCCCTCCCGAGAATGGGTCGCGAATTGAAATCTACTTACATGGGTCATGAAAGGGTGCAAGTGTCTTGTTTATACTTTTAAACATCTTATATATAAAGCTGAATGTCTGTTTGTATGTATGTATGTATGTATGTATGTATGTCTGTATGTCTGTCTGTGTGTACGTATGTTCCGAATAGAAAATTCCATTTCTGAACCGATCCGGACCAAACTTGGCACACATACACTTCGGGCCCCGGCGCGTGTCATAGGCTACTTTTCGTCATCGATCGATATCGATTTTATCGATTTTTATCGATTTTTTTGCGGAGTTCACCTACGGGGCTGGGAGTTGGCACAGGGGGGTAAGTGAGTATGGGGATTCCGAATACAATATTAGTTTTCAGAATTATCGATTACTTTTATCGATTTTATCGATTTTTTGTAAAGTTTGACCTGCGGGGCTGGGAGTTTGCACAGGGGGGTAGTCGAGCATGCTGATTACGAATACAATATTGGTTTTCAGGATTATCGATTACTTTTATCGATTTTATCGATTTTTTTGCAAAGTTTGAGCTAGGGGGCTGGGAGTTGGCACAGGGGGGTAATCGAGCATGCTGATCATCCCCAAGGGGGGTGATCAGCATGCTCGAACACCCCTGTGCCAAATTCCAGCCCCCTAGCTCAAATTTTCAAAAAATCGATAAAATCGATAAAAGTAATGGACGATCTTGAAAACTAATATTGTATTCGTAATCTGCATGCTCGATTACCCTCTGTGCAAACTCCCAGCCCCGCAGGTCAAACTTTGCAAAAAAATCGATAAAATCGATAAAAGTAATGGACGATCCTGAAAACTAATATTGTATTCGGAATCCCCATGCTCACTTCCCCCCTGTGCCAACTCCTAGCCCTGTAGGTGAACTCTGCCAAAAAATCGATAAAATCAATAAAAGCAATCGATAATTCTGAAAACTAATATTGTATTCGGAATCCCCATGCTCACTTCCCCCCTGTGCCAACTCCTAGCCCTGTAGGTGAACTCTGCCAAAGAATCGATAAAAATCGGTAAAATCGACATCGATCGATAACGAAAAGTGGACTGTGACACCCGCCGGGGCCCGAAGTGTATGTGTGCCAAGTTTGGTCCGGATACGGCGGAGCCGGGTAAGCCAGCTAGTTTAAGATAATTTTTAAAAAATGAAAAAAAAAGAATTAGCTTTGTAAAAAACATTTTCGGGCAAAAATTTTGAGAAGCACCTCAAAAAAATCGTCGGAGTGCGTGGCTAACGCCACCCACCTTCTCCTGAAAAAAAAATTCTGGAAAAATTCAAAACTATCCCCTCCTCTCCGGATGGAAACTCTGCAAACGCCTCTTACAACGCCTCTTGTGAGAGAGGGTTGGTAATTTTGTGTCGTGCACATTCGAAAGCCAGAAGGTTCCAAATCTAAAATTCCAATCTAAAATTCCAAATCTAAAAAATTGTGGCGAGCGGCAACAGTTCAAATTTGATTACCACTTAACACACTCGTTTTACTTGTCCATTTCGCTGCAGCGTGGAACTCGGCAAAATGCGTTGTTTTTGAAATATCCGTTGCCTAGGCTGACTTTACCAGTAGCTTTTTGCTTGACCTTATCGGTGTTGGTTCAAACGAATAAGTGTTTGTGGGAAGTTTGCCAATCTTTTGCAAGTTACCAGCTCTCGAAGCAATTCTCACGAAGCTATTTACAATCCGTGGAATTTTCTTAATTATTTTGGTCAAAACAGACTAATGCTTAAATTCACAATCATCTAGACCGATTTCAAAATTTCTGTGGCCCATTCTCAAGTAGAGGGTTGAGTGGTGAGCGGAGTTTCAAAAGTGTATGCACGTAGCTTTTCCTGGAGCGAAAACTGTGAATTATCCAGCATTGGCCAGATTCTGCAGGTGTTTTAAATGCGATTTTCTTGTTGTAGAAAGGGCCAGCTCGAATTTGACTTTAGCAGAGTTATAAGGCGGTCTTTTCACTGAATGTATGGAGAAGCAAGCTATCTCCGTTTTGGTGAGGAACTGCTTTGCGATTGTCTTCTGTCATATTGCAAGAAAAAAAAAGCAAAGGCTAAGATCTTGAGATTTTGAGCCAATCTGGCAAACGTACCATCCTAAAGTCCATAACCAGCATGTCACAGCGAGAAAAAAACCTAATAAACCAAGAAATTACAGTTACATCATCATTGAGTTAGCTCACGATACACAACAGAGTTTAAGCAGAACGACACTCGAAGCCTATCATCATCCCAACGTTCATTCTATATGTTAGAATCGCAATCTTCGCCGCATCCTGATCTTCGCAGCGTCTTCAATCCTATCACAATCAAAAAAGAGGTAACTGGAGCGTTATTTGATGTCGTTTATATTGCGGATGTATTCAGGAATTCACGAACTCTCCTAGTAACAGCCAGTCTCCGTTAAAGTGTTTCTCTCCCTTCAGTCCCATGCCTTCACAATCCTGTCTTTCAACTCCTGTCAAGGTAGCTGTGTTGAAACATTGGGTATCTTACTTAGTGCACAACTGTTCGCCTTCAGCGCAATCTTCTCTATCTCTCATAACTCTCTTGTGGATCATTTGACTGTGTGGTAAATCAAACCAGAAAGTTGTTGCTTATTCGTGTAATAAGTGATGTCCTGGTAAGGACAGATACCCGAACGATACCCGAACGACGCTAGCTGCAGAAAATCGAAGACTGAGCCTTTTTGAACTCAGCCACCGTACAACCTTTCATTTGGCGAGGAAAATACCGAACAAGTATTGTACCTGTCTAAGCTCCAGGACAACTTGTAGTGTATAATTAGGTGATTCCGACAGCAATCTTCATTTTTTGCTTTCTTCAAACAAGCATAACAACCCACAGAACAAAGGCTGTCAAAAGCTTTTGGCCGCATTCGATGCAGCTTTTGATCCCCTCTCATAAGGTGGTCTCCTCATTCCAGCACTACACGCCCTCTGAGGAAATACAAAAACTACCCACGGTTTTTGCCATGATCAGGTTTCGCTTTATCTAGATTTTGCTATTAATTCCACAAAGATGTCCAAGTAACCGACGGTTTGAGCGAACTCTACAGAGTGAAAAGCAGCTTTTTTCTTTCTCCCTTAGTTCGTCATAATTTTTCGATAGATAATTTATTGAAACCACCAAATTCTAGCAAGCCTGTCTCAAAAAAAAAACTCATCAAACACCAATAAATTTTCGGAATTTTAAAACTACCAAAAATTGATTATGAATTGACACTAATTCAACAAAGCAGATCAGCGTTTCGCGGATTCGAAATATCGATTCTCACTAAATTATCGAATTTCTTGATTATAACATGAGACGTGTTCAAACCCGAAAAGGTTACGAATCGACAACAAAAAACGCCTTTCAGAAAGAGGAGTAAAGGCTGCATCGAATGACACCCGAGTTGTTCGCCGGTTGATGGTCTACGAGGTCTGAGTTGACCTGATATGGAAATCAATAGCATCAGAAAAAGATTGGCTCTATTTAAAGTTACTTGGACTTCTTGGAGTCGGTAGAGAAATTTAGAAAATTGGCGAAACTTGACCATGGCAAAATTATGGGTTGCATTTAGTAATTACTTAAAGGCACCGTCCACCCAGATTTTTGACTTCCACCTTTTTGTCGTTTCAGGGCCTTCTCATGACCCTGATTCCGAATATGAAGTCGAGAATGCGCGAAAACCCCGACAATCCCCGTTCCGGAGAACCCACAGATCGGCATTCCGGAACGGTGATTGGACGTGCGCGCGCAAATGGGCGGGCATGGATGGGGGAGGGCGGGCATGGATGGGGGTCCTCGTGCATCTTCGCTGTTCCGAAGCGATTTTCTCGCTTTCGAAGCGGCATTTTGCGCTGCGACTTGGGCATTGGTTTGATAAGGGGGCCCTACTATTAAATGCTGCCAAAAGCTCAACACTCTCAACTTAGGGTGGACGGTGCCATTAAAGGCAGTGTCCCGGATTCGCGCCCTGGGGGATATTGCCATGGTGGGGTTCCTGGTCATCCCACTGACCTACAGGCGCAGTCCGGCTGGTTGATGTTCCCCCTGGGCCGAGAAAATAGCCCTCGAACCGGCGCGCGCAACCCCAATCGGCGCGCGCTGGACGACTTCGCTTACCGTTCGGCGCGGGACCCCACGACTGCTCTCTCGTAGTCTGCATGCTATCCAAAGCGAAAAATTATAGGCAGCAGGGTTCTCGTGCCAGGACCTCCCAACTTTCCATAATTAAATTGGGTAAACGCCCTGAAAAGGGTCTTTTCACCCGTTTAAGCTCAAATTCGGGGTCTACGGGTCGAAAAGGCCCAAAACATGCAAAAATATGGAAATGCGAAATATGCCGGGACACTGCCTTTAAGGGGTCGTTGGATAAACTCAAAAAAGGCGACAACCGTTTGAAAAAGGATGGAAAGCTGCGTCGAATGTGGCCAAAATTTGTTGGCAAACTTTGTTCTGCGGTTGTGTTACATTAGTTTGTAGGAAGCGAAATTATTTTCGATACACCTAATATTTACGCTGAGCTTGATCGACGCTGATGATTTCAGCTTGAAGTGCACGAAAAAGGGACTCAGACCGAATGCCTTGACGAGTGGTGTACTAACGATGAACAATTGGAAGCTGAGCTTACTCGTCTCATGAGATCCCCACAATTCATGTCACTGGTGAAGAAAATCCAAAGAATATGGCCAAAGCTGCAAATGACTGGTGCTGGAAATGGTTTTTAATGCGACATTCTCGTGCTGGTTTTGCAAATAGAAAGAAACGACTGCACTGATTTTTTGAGGCACTACTATCTAGCAGTTGTATCTTTGCAACTGATATCCATTTGTGTGTTTGCACTCACATTTTAGGAAGTAGATTGTAGATGCAGTGTTATTGGTTTTGGTCTCCTTATTGTTCTTGCTCTGTGTTCGTTTCGTGTTTTGGTGGTTTTTCACGAAATATGTTTTACATTTCCTGTTCCATTTCGTGTCCATTTCTGTACCAGAGTAGTACATGTCATGTTTTTTGTAAATATTGTTGACTGTGAGAAAAATGACTGTGATCTCTACACAGCACGACGCTGTCAGAAGTTAATAGTTTCCGTATCTCAGATGAAAATGGATGTTATATTGTATGTGAATTAGCTTAATCGCGTTCAAAATCGTGCGGGCGTTGTATATAGACGCTGTTGCGAAGTTCACATTGTAATGCATGGAAGTATAAACGTACTGGGCCGTTCAATGCTTGTTTGGTTTTCTCGACTAACAATCCTGAGGATTTCGCAGCATGAAACTGGGCAGTGAAAAACTTCAATTCTTCAAGCTAGTATTTGCCATAGATTTTTTTATCGCTTGCTTGCACATTGTATCATCTGCTCATTCTGCTATAGGAAGGATATGGACATTGGTAACGTATCAGTATGGAAAGCAATCGTGAGACGGCCTGATATCTGGCCGTTAAAATAAAATCCCACTGATTTCCTAGATTTTACCTTTATAACTGGCCCTCAAAACACAAAAAAAAAACACTGATCTTCTGTATATTTCCTGAGTACCCGACCTTTATAACGCAAATCGCACAATGACTTCCCGTATTTTACCTCAATCAGTTAGCAACATTTTGCAGTTTTCTGTACATAGCAACTATCGGTACAAAACGCTTTCCAATATCTTTGATTTGCAATGACATGAATAGAAGATAGGAAAATGAAAAAGCTGTCAATAAAGATTGTACTGGGTCACTTTTTTCTAGCCATAATCAGTCTTCGGCATTTAGATTCTCTCTTCATCTACAGTAACGTAGTTACTTTTGCTGAACTCGGGTTCCGTACTCTTAAATTCGGAAAAGTTAGCAAACTTTATTGCTCTTTCAATGTCAATGGAAAGCTCTTCATCCCTTCTCCATATACGCCAAATATGGGACTTTGCCGAATTCAAGTGTAACAAAACTCATGTGGCAACCTCTCAGACAATCACAAATGACCCGGAAAAAACTAAACTTCTAAAACTTGCGGGGTGAAGACGCTCCTATTGGGCCAGGTGGTCGGGCCTCGCCCCACCTTGTCCCACACTACCTGGCAGCTCCAAAAGGAGTGTCGCTCGGAAGTCTTAGAACTTCAGTTTTTCACGGAAGTCATTTGCGATTGCCTGAGCTATATAATGACCTAGTATATCGCGCGAGTAATGATATATTAGGTTGTTACATATTTCACACAAGGAAAAAATCTTCGTAACTTTTCAACAGTTATTTAATCGTCCAATTATTAATTTATTTATTTACTTATTTATTACTTTATAAGTACACAACGAGGTGCATCAAAAAACCAGAAAAAAAGCATACGATGCCAGCCAGTCCTCAGCTCAAGGAAAACAAAACTGAATGGTAGATAACAAGGCACGGAGCTCCCCATAAATAAAAAGAATCGTGTGGTATGCTTCTTAAGCAGAGATTATCTAATGCCAGTAGGTTTGAAAGAAATTGATTGACTTGAAGATATCATCGAAAGGTAAGGAAGTTGTGACATTCCGGTTCTGATGGTTATGTGATTATTAAAAGGAACCAAGAAGAAGTAATGCTCTACACTACATTACAAGGACTAGCAACCTATTTTCAGAAAAAGTTGAATGTGCCTGAATTGTCTTCTCCGCTTACCCAAGTTTTGGAAACCTCAGGATGCGTCAAAACTAGTTAGGTAGGGGTTAGTTAACATGCTGGGCAACATAACATGGCCTCAACATGTGCGAAAATTTGTTAGATGCGATTGTCTGTAATGAAGGGACCAGTGGGGCGAGCAAGCGCCTAGCCGGTGTCTATTCTTCTCGAGAAAGAGTACAGATGCCAGGTAGCTCACAAACCTCGGTGGCACACGCCATACTTGATCCACTTGATCCACTTCGTTATTAGTCAATACGCTGATTCGAAACGAGGGCGCTATTTTAGAATACACCTGTACATAGGGGTTATTCGACATGCTGATCACAAAAATGATATTCGTTTCGTGTGGTAATGCTTTTTTGAGGGGTTACGGTAGGATCATGGTATGGGGTCAGAATCTTAGAATTCGCTAAAACTTTGCGTATGGGAGTCATTCGACATGCTAATCACGAACATCACACTTTTTCCGCACGAAACCTCCCTGTATGGTTACGGCAGGTGTACGGTAGGCGGTCGAAACCTAGATTTGGCTGAAATTTGGTCTGTAGGGGTTATTTAGCACGCTGAACATGGCTACCATACTGACTTTGTACGATGCTGCCATTTTCTCGAGTTACGGTAGGTACACGGCAGTGGCGTACCCATTTCGGCTCGGGGGGGGGGGGCGCGACAAAAATTTTTTCCTAAAGAAGGTGCGTGGCTTTAGCAACGCACTCCGAAAAAATTTTTGGGGTGCTTCTCAAAACTTTTGCGGGTCCCCGACCCCTAAAATCTGGAAAAAGGGGGCGTGGCTAACGCCACGCCCCCGAAAAAAATTTTTTACAAGGCTAATTTGATTTTTTAAAAATTTTTAAAAATTATTTTAATTATTTACAAAAATAAACAAGTCACTTGCACATTTTTATAACCCATATAAGTAACTTACAAAAATTTCGCGACCCATTCTCGGGGGGGGGGGCACGCGCCCAGTACTCTGCGTTGATACCACTGCTT